TTCTTAGTAAAAATAAGAGATCTTTAGTTTGAATTATGTATCATATAAGTGATGTAAGTAAAAGGACAGAAGACAATTATGTCTCATTATGCAACTCAAGATCAATTAAAAAAAGAAAAAGGGAGAGATAACAATACGAACAATTGTACCTAGATTTAACAATAAGGGCATGTTTAGTTGGATGACCAACTTTGTTAGCAAAGTTTTTATTGAAAAAATGGTTAGGAAAGTAATGTATAGAAAATTAATAAGTTTTGCAATAAAGTTTTGTTGAATTATTAATTTTTTTGTATTTACTAAAAAATTGGTATAAAAAAAAGTTTGTAAAAAGGTTATCATATAAGTCATATATAAGGAAAGTTGAAGAAAAAATTTTCTCTTAAAAAAGTATAGAAAGAAAAGTTTTAAGATTAAAAATTATATCAAGAAAAATAAATGTTAAAAATAATACTTTTATCCTTTTTCTATTATAATATGAATGTGTAAAAATATAAAAATAACTTTGTAAAAGAGAAAGTTTTTAAAAAATTAAGATAATAAGATTTTTCTTAACCAAACACCCCCTAATAGCAAGGTCTTGAATCAAATCTTCTAATTTGACAATTAACTGTGCCTTTATTTTACTAATATCAATAATACCATCATTATTATTATTTTTATACAACGGGTCAATTGAGGGGAGGGTGTGGAGTGGGGTTGATGTTGCGGGGCGTGACGGTTTGAACTTTGAATTTGAACACTGGTCGCATGAATGAAGAAGCGCTGATTTACCACTATAAACCTTCCTCATTAATAACACCATCATATTTTCATTTTATTTGGAAAACTTATTTACAATAATGGTAATTACTCCATTTTTTTAAAATAGTTGTCGTTTTTCGGTTTAAAATTAATTTTAAATTTTAAAAAGAGATAATTTTTTAATACTTAATTTTAAAAAAATATTTTGTAGGACAGTTTTGTTAGAAGACATCTCTAAAAATATTATATTTTAATTAATATTTTTAAAAACTAATTATTAGATTTAAAATTCTAGTAATAGAGATCATGTATGACGATTTTTAGATTTATATAATATACCTAACTAATTTGTTAATTATACAAAATTTAAAATTGTTAATATATGTGGGTAAATAGAGTTTTTTTCAATAAAAGGATATAAATATTAAGATCAATTTGAATGTTAATATATATAATTTATATGAATAAAATATTTGAATCAATGTTTAGTTTTTAAAAATATTAAGTACAAAGTAGTTTATAAGCAATTTCGAGTTTGAATTTTAAGATGAGTGATAAGCAATTTGGGAAAGAAAAGAATTATCTCTATTGTATAATTTATTATCTAACATATTTTATAAGAATTTTAGATACCAATAAGCAATGTTTTCCTCCAATAAAATTTTGTGAGAGAAAATGTATTTATAAGTTAAAGAATTGAAAGAAAAAGGCGGAATGTCTAATTCTATTTCTAAAGTTAGGTAGTAATAACAGATTCACCATCTAATAACAAATAATAACAAATCTACTCACAAAATTTATAACTTGGACAAATAATTTTTGCCGTCAAATGACATCAATAGCTAGTCAATAATGAATTTATTAGTGACAAAATAAATTAATGAATTGTTGATATCATCTGAGATCACACATAAAATTTGAGATAATTTGTTTAAATGAAAAACTTTGTAAGTAGATTTGTTCTTTTTTTGTTTAGAGGAGGATATGTCCTTATTAGCCTAATTTAGGATGTGGATTTAGATATTTTGCCAAAAAAAAAAGTGAAATAAAAGCCAATAAATTGAAAAAAAATGGGTGAGATTAAAATTAAAACTAAATTTATATATTTGTCTTGGGAAAAAATTCTATTATACTCCCTCTATTGCCAAATAACTGTCATTTTTAGACTTTTTCTTTAGGATTTTGAGATAATATTTATATATTTATTTATAATATTCTTAAAAAAGAAATGAGAGGTACAAAAAGATTTCTTGATTATTGGATGATTAATTAAAGTGGATTGAAAATGATATGGTTAAAGTATGAAAAAAATATTTGTCTATCTTAAAAAAA